ATAAACGTTAGTAAAGATAGTGTGTGTCATGTAAATGTCCAGGGATTTGTTAACAACTATAGCTCTATCGAGGTTTTTGCTGATGAAAATAAATTGGATTTTTTATGTTTTTCTGAACACTGGATAACAAAGAGAACAATCATGGGTTAGTTTATTTAAGAGGCTATAAAGTAGCAGCAATTTATTGTCGGGAGAATCATGAACGTGAAGGTGTACTGATTTTAGTAAAAGAAAACACAAATTGTAATGAACTAGAGTCTATAAAAAAGTTATCTGTAGAGTGTCAATGTTACATCTTGAAAAAAAATTTGTATTTCGAAGTTTTTCAGATAGTTTATTATGAAAGAAGCAATTGAAATCAGTTTTCCACTTGGGCTCTTATTCTTAAAGCAAATAATTGTAACATTCAAGACAAATGACAAGATCTAATTTTTCATTTTCCACATGTAACCTAACCTCACCTAGACCATGTCTCCTTCTTCCATGTGAAAAGTCCATCATGGTCCTCTGATGTAGCCCTTCGGGCGGAGGGCTATAAGTGGTGTTGTTGTTGATGATGCCGTTGGCATTGTCGCAGATGTTGATGTGTAGAGGCGGCGAAATATGGCGTCGGTCTACCAAACTAGGCAGGTGTCTGCGATCTGCTGCTGCGTTGTGGTAGGTGTGACTGGGGGTGAGTCGAGGGGTAGGAGGGTTGGGAAGCGGCACGATCCTGCGGTTTTGGTGTTGGTGACCTGCAAAGTGTAACATTTCTCTCTCGAATTCATAGATATCTAGCATTTTTATCTACCACTGGCCTAGATAATTTTCTCGAAAATTTATTCATTTATTTATCTAACGGACAGCACCCAATATAATAACATGTTCATAAATTAAGATCAATATTAAAATAAAACCTAAAAAAAAATTAAAACTATGATTAAACCCAAGGACTATAAATGAGTGCAATATGATACACATATACATATTTTCCTTTATTTTCAGTATTTTAATATTAATATATGTCACAAAAAGGATTTGAAGCTTCATAACTCCTATTTATTATATGCAAGCGCTTTTGACAGCTGGTCGTGCTATCATC